ATAGATAGAGAGATACAAGGATATAGATAGAGAGATACAAGGATATAGATATAGGGATACAGGGATATGGGATATAGATAGAGAGATACAAGGATATAGATAGAGAGATACAAGGATATAGATAGAGAGATACAAGGATATAAATATAGGGATACAGGGATATGGGATATAGATAGAGAGATACAGGGATATAGATAGAGAGATACAGGGATACAGATAGAGAGATACAGGGATATAGATAGAGAGATACAGGGATATAGATATAGGGATATAGGAAAGAAGGAGGAAAGATAAAGACGATAGATGTTTGATAGGAAAGAAGGAGGAGAGATACAGACGATTATGTTTGATAGGAAAGAAGGAGTAAACCACAGCAGAGCACCCACCAACCACTATCTTACTTGCCCACACAGACGGACAGACACACAGACAAACAAACAGAGCGACTCACCTCCCCTCCTCAGCGCCGGGTAGAGTGGACTGGTGGCCCACATGGGGTATGAGCGGACTCGAACTCTCTCCCTCTGTGAGCTGAGAGCCGGCCGACAGACTCTTGTCCCCCTTCCCCTCGCCTTCTCCCTCCCTCTCCTCCTCTTCCTCCTCCTCCTCCTCCCCTGCCCCCGGGGGTAGCGGCAGACTGAGGGGTCGCCGGGGGTCGTAGTGGGAACTGTCCGGGCCCCTCGCCCCACCACTGACAGCTGCCACCGACACGCCACTCTGCCCGTGGCTTGACGACGGTGACGACACTGACGAAGGGTTGGCGGTTTGTGACACCGTGTCGTCAGAACGTTGCCCCGGCGTGTCACTGCTGGGTTTTGACGTCACGTCGCCAGGGAGTGACGCGGCAGCTGTGGCATTTAGCGACGCAGCGTCACCAGCCTGTGTCAGTACGTCAGCTGGCGGCAGTGACATCACATTGTCACCTAGTGACGTCGTAGGTGCAGCCCTGCCGTGAGATTCGCCCGCCCCCTGGGGTGAGAAAATGGCGTCAAGTCCTGGAAGAATATTGGCCGCGGGGGGCGGTTGGCGGGTGTCACTGTCAGAAGTTATGGCCGACTCTGAGCTGTCAGCTTCCGGCTGTGTGGTGGAGGTCGTGGGGCAGGGGTCGACGGTAGAGGTTGCGGGGTCGCTGGTAGAGGTCACAAGACCAGAAGTCGTATCCTCTCCGCTGCTGGTCTGTGCTGGGAGG